AAAAAAAAAAAAAACCACAACACCAAAAAAAAAAAAAAAAAAAACAAGTAATATAAAAACAAAAAAAAAAAAAAAAAAAAAAAAAAAAATTATAAAAAAAAAAAAACTCGAAGGCAATGGGAAAAAAACTCAAAAAAAATAGGTTAATATAAGTTTATTAATATGGTAAAAAATATATATTAATAAAAAAAAAAAGAAAAAAAAGTACGCGAAAACGCCAACAAGAATCTCTACTCCAAAGAACAAATTTTTACAGCCTCGTGCTGATCGATATTGATTCTATTGGCTAAAGTTTTTGAGGCGCGCGCCACAGAATATCACGTGTCAGTAACTTTTTGGTCTCGTCGAATTGTCTTTTATCAATTAATATATGTAAAAATTAATGGCACTTCGAAGTAGAATACAATGAAACTTTATAAATCATAGCTCTATATAAATTACACAATTTTTTCTTCACGTTTCAGTTGTACTGATTTTTAATACGTTCAACGCGCCAAAATTTCAATATAAGGCCATACAAAATTAATTTTTTGTTTATCATAACATTAAATTTTAAAAATGACCCGGCCGGCTTTTTTTTAAAAAATTATATATAAAAAATTTCATAAAATTTTTAAAAAAAATTTTTGAAACCCCACCCGGCTATTAAAATATATAAAAAATTTTTCTTCAAAAGTAAATTTGACCCGGCCGGGTTATGAGAAACAATTAATTAAATTTGTATAGCCTAAAATAAATATTGATTTTTGGGTGATGCATAACATTTAGCATTGATAATACGAAATTTACTATAATTTGAATAATGCATATATAACTTTGAGACCAGGCTTTATTGATAACTTCAAAAAAACATTTTTTAAGTGCAAGAGTATATTATAAAAAATTCAAATATAAAATTGAAGATTACTATGCTATGAGGGTGTAATATTAAAATGTGAGTTATAAAAACATTAATTGCAAAATTTTAATATTTTAATACATTGAACGAACCATGTCATGTTTATGGTTAATATCTGTTTATAATAAATTAAATTTTAACTTTTCTAACTTCATTGAGTCTTAATTGGAGCTCTACCAATTAGTGTTCCATTCGACCACTTAAGGTCAAAAGCTTTTCCTGTAAGACTCAAAGCAGGAGTGAAATCAATTTGAAAAGGTGCACAAGCTGGTACAAAAATTTTAATTTCCTTAACAATTTGTTGTGTCATGTCTAAAGCTGTGCTGTTATCGGCCTCAGTTACTAATAAGAACAAATAATCCGTGGCGTTTGGGCTAGTAAGACCAGAATTAAATTGCCCGGATAATCGAGTTCCATCAAATGTTGAATTAGACATATGAACCCAGTTAAATCGACCTGTGGCATTACCCGTAAAGTCACAATAGGCGATATCGGTACCATCATTACCAATAGCCGATTTCATAAAAATTGCGCAAGTCAAGGCAATAGCCAAAAGGAAAAATTTTCTTGATAACATTTTGTTTGATTTAAAAAATAAGTTTTTAAAAATTAATAGATAAAATTTTTTGTCGGATTAGTTTAATCTTTTTTGTTTATTGTTTTTTTTTGAAAAAATGAAGCAAAACTAACGAGTCTTTTATATTTGTCAAGTTGTTAGTTGCTATGTACCTGCGTATTAAGTATTTCTGCAACTAAGATAACTATAATATGCATACAATATGTAAAAACAAATTACTGTATGCGGTTTATATTACATGAAATTAATACAAAAATACAACGAACAATAGAGGTTCATGTCTCGACTCGTATAATCTTCTTGACAAGTGCCCAGACAAGTAACATGTCATCTAAAAATATCTGACGCTCCAAATTTATTTTTTAAAGTAAAAAAACAAAGTAAATTATTGATCACCAATAATCGTTTTTTGTAATGCATTTCTTTAATAAATTTGCACCATCTAAGGAATGTAAGAAATGTATCATATAATGTGCATCATTACCAAAAATTTGCAGATCTTTGTTATCCATTATGAGCATGTGCGTACGTATGTACGTATTCATGTGATGTAAATCTATCCTGAACTCTCAGGGACGCGGAATTTATGTGCAAATTATGTGTGTGGTATATGTAAAATATTCAGTTTACTGATGATTAAAATTTATCTCGTAAAAAAAACAACTGGCAATTTTGCATTTTTTAAATACTGGCTCAACTAAACTAAAACTTCAATTTTTTAATTGTTGCGCTCAACTAAAAAACAAAAACAGTCAAAAATCATTAAATTCAAACACTCTCATTAAGTTCTTTTGAACCCATATTCAAAATAACAAAATTTTCTTTTTGATTTTAATTTATTTTATACTTTAACGTATTAACTTAATTACCTAGAATATTATAAAGCAATTCTTGAATGTGTGCTAGGTTTGTGGCGCAGATTACCTGAACTACGAATCAGATTTCAAGAACAGTAACACGAACGGGAAAATTCAAAGTCAAAAATCGCCTATCTCTTGAAAAATTGTATATAAAACTACACTTGTGCACTAACAAAAAGTTTTCCTTGAGTAATTTTACTATCATCAGCAAGTTGTTTTTTATAAACTTTATGTAGCTCTATAAAATTACATAAATATTATATAAAATTCAGATAAGTATAGACTTTTTATTATATAGGTTATATACGGTAATAAGAATTTTACATGTAAACTACGTAATTTTATATCTAATTTTATTTATTATATATATAAATATAAAATCTAAGTTATGTAAATTTTATTCATATTTATATAAAAATAATTTAATTTACTTCAGCTATTTCTCAAGAGTAACAAAGGTAATCACTAATTAAAAATGTTCAGCATGCTCGAAAACCTTTCCCAAACCTCTAATTTAAACTTTAAAATCTAATCCTAGCTTTAAAAGTTTTTGTGAAGTTATATAAAAAATTTTACACAATTTGTAATTTTACATAAAAAAAACTTCATGGTATATACTAACAAAGTAAATTCAGTTTTAAGTTTAAGCACCTCATAAGTAAGACTCCAGCCCTATGAAATGTCACCGTTTTATTACTTGTTTGTACTAGGATAATAGTTTTAGGCTTTGAATTAATAGATTTCATAGTAATGCGTTTATTAATATCAATTTGATTTATATGGTATCATATATTTAGAGAACACCTATTTTCACCATGAATATTTACTATTTCCACCATTTTACGTAACTTTTCATGACAATATGTTCGTCATGTTTATGTAACAAAAAGTCATATAAACAGTATGGTGGAAATAGCAAATTTCAATGGTGGAAATAGGCGTTTCCTATATTTATTGTAGATGACATATAAAATATTAATACAGAGAAAATATTTTTGTATTATACAAATTTTTTAATGTTAGAAGTATCTTTAAATAAGAAAAAATTTACATCATTTTGAATCAGTTTTTTGCATTATTGGCCTTTTTATATATTAAATATCTCTCTGAAGCATTATGCTACAGGTTATTTTCTATTATTTTATATACTTTTTATATTCATATTACCAAAAATAACAGAGGAGTGGGGTGTAGCGACTTAGTGAAGTGGTGAAGTTGTCACACCCCCAAGTGGCAGGACAAGAGTTTGAATCCCACTGGTGACAAAAATTCGAATTTAAGGAATGTGTTACAGCAGACTGTGTGTAATCTGATGGATCATTGGATCTGTAGCCTTGGTCATACCAGCTTGTACTGGAAGGACGTGAAACAATAGTGTGATGCAAAAGTTACATGAAACCTGAGTAAAACGTTTGTGTAAATCCAAGGGCTGGGGCACACGGAATCCCACTTGGCAAGTCCTAAGTAGAGAGGTAGCACAGATCTTCGATGGTACTACGTAAAGGATGATCATTGGTGACCGGATACTAGCAGTAAACTGGACGAGGACCGGGTGTTTGGCAAGACACTAATACCAACCAGGCCGCAAGTATATGGGGGTGGCCCCGTATAAATAAGGAAAAAGGATTCAATCGGAATACCAAGAGGACGCCCACTAGTCCCTCCCCGGGCTATCTGGATTGGGAGTTTGGGATACTGTTGGTGAAGGAAAGTCAGTGTTAGTCTATAAAGTGTGTGCTGGGATCTGGGTGAACTTTGCAAGGGCAAGGAGTAGGTAACGATAGCGGAGTGATACCGCAAATACTTGGTCTCGGCCTAGGG